TTGAACCGCTGAACTGCTGATCTAGCAGTAGCCTGCAGTGCTGCATTTAACCACTGCGCCACCTTGGCTCTTATGAATGAACAAAACAGGGAGGAAGGTCCAGAAAGAGAACAGAGGACCAATCTATTTTGGGCTGCTTTGATCATGACCATCCTGAATGAAAAACTGCAAAATTTTCTTTAAGCTACCAGCTTAATATTAATAATATTAATAATAATGTAAAAATTAATAATGATAATTAATATTGTGATCAATATTTTATAATCCTTGTTCAACAATTAAATTGTTCTATAATTCTTGATTGAAGTTAAATCTTGTCCTTTTGGAAGTAATATTGGCCCCTTTCCAAGATTTGGATTGAATGATTGATTAAAGGGGAGGCTATGTTAACACATAATGTGGGGATTTAAAAATCCTCCCATGACTTTATTTGATTTTGTATGAAAAACATAGAAAGTCTCCCTGGAAAAGATTGATGGATATCGTTCTGTCCGAGGCTTCCCAGGAGCATGAAGCAAACACCTTGTTCCGATAAAAACCCCTTTTATTAATTTATTGTGAATTCTGCTCATTCACATCCGGCAAAGTTTTTCAAGGGAGGATTTACAGTCACAGACCTTATCTGGCTTGGAGAACTGACAGGCCAATATCTACAGAACTTGTCTAGGAGTGTCGGAAAGTCACGAACCAATTAAGCGAATTAATTGTCTCCTGTAAACTCCACTCCCCTTTCACTCTTCTTTTATTTCCTCTGGGAGGGGCCATTCATCGTCCACCTGTGGCCTTACTCCCAAGTCGACCCCTGTTCTTTAGCCCAGTTCGTCTGGCAACTCTGTGCATATGCACACTGGGAACAGGCTCCAGCTGTTCATCTGCCTGACTGATGTCTGACTCTGAAGGCAGCTGATAACTGGCATGCGGCTCTGGCCCCCTCTCTGCCTCCGACACAAAGCCCTCCTAAGAGCCTTCCACAGATTCCAAGACTGGCTCATGTTCCTCCCCAACCTCCTCACTGTCTGAATCTGCTACCAGCTCCGCTGGCCACTGGCGGGCCACAACAGATATTTGAAAAAATGGAATTTACCCAAACTTTCACAATCTCAAACAAAATATAAATAGTCCAATAACAACTTTTGAAATATCAGAAGCCTTCGTCCCATTTACGGATGTCACACAACCCCTTGGGATTCCTGGAAGGAACCAGAACAAGAAACACACACACACCTCTGCCCTCTGAGGCTCTGTATAGCTACAAAACCCATCATTATCTGATCAGAGCTGTAACTTCCTTTTGTATTATTCAAGCCTGCGGAAACCTTCCAGCCTCTTGACTTCATTCCATTCTCTTACAGGGTGGAAAGTCTGGTTGAATGGGTCTGCATTCCCATGGCTGTTTTCTCAAGGGATGGGCCCCCCCAAGTGATGAAAACTGGTTATACCTCCAGCTTCAGAATCAATAGGTTTTTTTTTCCCCTTGTTGTTTTTCCCCAGAATTGTGACATTTGGTTTCATTCTTCCTTAATTTCTAAGGCAGACGCAGGTCTGAGTGTCTCAGGGTATCAAAAAAAGGTAAAAAAAAATATGGCAGCTATTCCTGTGCAATCAAAGAGGGATGTAAAAGGGGTGTGGTTTTGATTGCATGGTTATGGCTGCTATCTTGATTTTCTGACATGAGTGAAAAGGGGCGGGGCTTCAATCAATGAGTTATGGCCATCAGTGTGATGATTTTTTTTTTACGCCCTTCCCTCTAAAGAAGTTTTTGGAGAAGTGGCTGCTCACCCCAAATATTTAGCAATAGCAATAGCAGTTAGACTTATATACCGCTTCATAGGGCTTTCAGCGGTTTACAGAGTCAGCATATCGCCCCCACAGTCTGGGTCCTCA